TATTTTAACGTGCGATTAACGCATGTGTATTTGTCCTCGGCCCGCCCCGTAGTTTCAGAGCCCAAAGGCTTGACGTTGTTGTTAGTTGGATGGTGGGAGATTCTTGCGAGAGATATGGATACAAGAAAAGGTGTTTTAAACAGGCCAAGCTCACAGCTGATGCTGACAGCCCCGCTCCTGCCGCTCGCTTGCGGCAGACCACGCTTGAAAGTTTGTCGGGGAGACGCCTGGACATTATGCCGTTACAAGCTTCAAAGTTGTATTTATCATCTGAATTTGCCGAAACAAGTTTAATATTCTGAAAGCCAAGACTTTGTTTAATTGAAATAAGTTTTGTTTAAAATCAAACAAAACACCCGAAACCCGAAAAAATAATCCACGTTTATTTTTTAAATGAGCCGTTGCGACTTCCGACTGATTTCGATAGAGCGGGTCACATATCGTCACAAAAACTGAGGTCACAGTGGCAGGAAGCTCATCCAGGTCTGCAGCTGCTGCTTCAAAAACACTGATCAGTGTAACTGCATCTCTTGACAGTCTTGACTGCATGCTTTTTATATTAGGTCCATCAAGTGTTGTGAGCTTAGGCCTGAGGTAGGACGTAAACACTAGAAAAAACATGAAAAACTGCTGAGGTGAAAATGTGGTGAGAACTGACTGATTTTTTTTTTACTGATTAAGTACCTTAAGATACGTCTCTTAATGTATCTTGACAATGAGTGGATGATGGAATGAGATTTGTTGACATTACCAAACACAGCTTTCTCATTCTCCTCTCCTCTTATTGGCCCATCCAGAGTCCAGAGGAAGTGTTCATGGAGATCCGGCGTCCTTTAGAATGGCACTGCAAGCAGATGGATCATTTTGTGGGCCTCAACTTCAGTGCAAACTTCAACTTTGCACTGGTGGGCCACCTACTCAAAGGTAAAGAGAAAACTTCTGCTGATAGACATCAGCTTTGTTTTAATTAAATGGTATCTTCCACAGGTTTGCATCAGTGTTTTGTTAATGACGGCCTGTTTGTGTCTTTCTTGTGTCTCTAGGCTACAGACACCCTTCCGCCACCACAGTAGCAAGGACTGTGAGAATCCTGCACACACTTCTCGCTCTGATCAGCAAACATCTGAAATGTGACAAGTTTGAGGTTAACACTCAGAGTGTGGCCTATCTGGCTGGTACGTAACACACTAGGAGACATTTACACAACTTCCAACACTATCCTGCTCATGCCCATAGCACCAATATTATGTCATGGAAGAAATATGATCAAAAGTTAACTATAGAACAACATTTTGGCTTTGGTTGCTGCTTGAGCCCCATCATCTCTCCTGGTTGTCTGCAGCCCTGCTCACTGTATCTGAGGAGGTCCGGAGTCGCTGCAGCCTCAAACACAGGAAGTCCCTCCTGATTTCTGACCTTTCCATGGACCCGGTTCCCATGGAAACATACACAAGTCACATCAATGATCCTAGCTGCAGGTGAGCAGAACAGAGGACAACTTGTCTGATCCAGCGACAACAAAATGCAGCCCAACAGGCACACTAAGAAACAAACTCAATTAAAATGCAGATGACCCTAAGTTTAACCCTTTCCTAATTTTTTTTCTGAAGTCTTCCAGTGGGTTTTTTTTTTTATCCATTTGACTCGATAGTTCATTTTTGACAGGGGACATATCCTTTAATAACTATATTTTCAGTGCTTGTAAATAACATGCACAAGTGTCTACCAACCTTAAAACTTTAAAATAGGGCTGTCAAGTTAATAACGCGTCAACGCAATTATTTTTTAACGCCACTAATTATTTTACCGTGCGATTAACGCATGTGTATTTGTCCTCGGCCCACCCTGTAGTTTCAGATCCCAAAAGGCTTGACGTTGTTGTTGTTGTTGTTAGTTGGAATGGTGGGAAATTCTAGCGAGAGATATGGATACAAAAAAAGGTGTTTTAAATAGCAAGCCAAGCACACAGCTGATGCTGACAGCCCCGCTCCTGCCGCTCGCTTGCGGAAGACCACGCTTGAAAGTTTGTCGGGGAGACGCCTGGACACGGCGTCTACGAGCAGCAAGCTTTCAACAGCGATAGCTAAATGGGTGGCGGTGGCTTCAGCTTGCAGGACAATTAACATTGTGGAGGACGAGGGACTGTGTGAAATAATTCAGATCGCATCCAACGTGTCGACTGCACATCGCATTATTTTGACCCTAGGTGGGAACTTCAGTCTCATGCTTTGACTGTTAAGAAGACAGAGGAGCGGCATTTCGCCGACAACTGTAAACAGGCTTGTCCGTTTGAGCAACTGGCTCAGTGCAGAGAAGTAGACAGGGTTGTGAGAGAGTGAAGAGAGAGAGAGAGAGAGGTTCCAGGTTGTTGTATTGAAAATATTCAGGAGAATATTTGTCATTGTTCAGAGGTTGTTGACAGCCCTACTTTAAAATAAAAAAATTAAGTACATTTTTTTGGGCTCCCTCAATTCAACCATTCATATTTGCTACCCTTCCTTCCAGGGTTATTAAAATATATATAATTTACACATATTTTTCGCAGTCGGAACAGATCTGACTGGGCTTTCTTGGGGCTTACAGAGACAGGAAGTGAATACAGGTTTATTCAGAGAGAATAAAGAAACCTTAAAGCATATAAACATGTTATTTTAAAAATCCTGATGTATGAGCCTGAAATGAGCCCCCTAATACGTCCCCTTTAATAAGTTGTCAGGTTCTGTTCCCTGACTTTTGGTCCATTCTCCTCAGAACTCTGCGTGAGACTCAGCCGTGGACGTCCCCCCAGGTCTCAGAGCGCTACCTCTCAGCCCATCACTACCCTACAGTGGGACAGATCAGCCCCCGAACTCGCAAGTCCATGAGCCTGGACATGGGCCAGCCCTCGCAGGCCAACACAAAGAAGCTCCTGGGTATGACTCGTGTTGTTCATGTTGATCTTTCCTAAAGAGAAGTGTCCATCAGTAAAACCTAAAATCCAGATTGTAAATGTACTTTTGACTGATTGTCTACCAGGCACCAGGAAGAGCTTCGATCATCTCATATCAGACTCTAAAGCACCAAAGAGACCAGAGATGGAGTCGGGTATGACCACCCCTCCCAAGATGAGGCGTGTAGCAGAGAACGACTACGAGATAGGTGAGAGTGCAGCAATCCCTTTTTCCTTTGATACGGTACAGTTTCTGTGAGAAGAAATTCTAAATCCATGTTATTTTTACAGAGACGCAAAGAATTGCAAACTCTCACCTTCGCAAGGTGTCTGTATCAGAGTCCAACGTCCTGCTGGATGAAGAGGTGCTGACCGACCCAAAGATCCAGGCTCTGCTGCTCACTGTGCTGGTGAGGACACATAGAGGACAGTGATTGTGTTTTAAATTATTTTCACGTGTCGATCACTGACTGTTGCTCTGATCTCCCAGGCCACCCAGGTCAAATACACCACTGATGACTTTGACCAGAGAATTCTCTACGAGTACTTGGCCGAAGCTAGCGTCGTCTTCCCAAAGATGTTTCCAGTCGTGTAAGTAGCCAAAAACAATTCCCTAGGTTAGGTTGTACTCTGATGATCGGAGTTAGATTTATTTTGGGCGGGTTCTTTTTAGAGTTTAATGTAGAGGTGGTCCCAGGTTCTTAGGAACTGAAACCAAACCAGGGATGTGATGTAAGTCAAACTCATCTTTAGTCTGATCAGGTGGACTCTGTATGAGTTCTGGTCATGCTGCTGCCCCTGTTGGTGCTCTCGTTCCGCGAGTCTTTACTCGTCCACTTCAGTCTGGATCAGGTTTGGACACCTTTAGACTGGTCTGTAATGTTAGACAAGTCTTAACAAATATACATGACATAACCAGGGTTCGTACGGTCATTGAAAACCTGGAAAAGTCATGGAAATTCAAAATGCAAATTCCAGGCCCTGGAAAAGTTATGGAAAACAATATTTTTCCCAAAGTTTTGGAAAAGTCATGGAAATGTAACTAAAGTTGCATCAAATATAATTTATATTTTATCTAATCGCCGAAATAGTAATACTATAATAATAAATACTGTATCGTATAGTAATGAAACGTAAAATGGCATTTAACCGACGAGGTGTTTTGCTGGTGAGAGATTTTTACAACCACGCCCTCTAGTCTCCTGTGGCTTTAGCCTGTAGAAGCTAGTAAGCCTACTATTAGATTTGTTTTAGACACAACAAGTTAAATATGCAGACCTTATTTTCCAGCTTACCATTTTAAAATAAAAATGTTTCAGTGGTACCGCTGAGAAAGATCCAATGTTTTGGTCATGGAGAATTAGGTAAAGGTCATTGGAGAAGTCATTGAAAGTCATTGGTGAAAAAGTGTATGAACCCTGATTATTAAACTGTTTCCCTTTTCTCCCTCCATGTCCTCCCCCCCTCAGCCTCCTACCTCTTCCCCAGCTTCCAGGGCCTGATGTCGGACAACGACACCGTGCGCCTGGGCCTAGACTTCCAGAGGATGCTGAGGATCAACCGGATGCTCTACATCGCTGCCCGGTCAGTCCTCCACTCTCACATGTTTATCACTACCGAAGATTACATTACATTACATCTGAAGAAGATCTGATGCTGCTTTGTTTATGTTGTTTACTGAGGCTAAAATGTTGGAGAAAAGAAATTCCAGGAGCAGACCAATACTCCAAGTGCCCTCATAACATGTTCGCTTTACAAAAGGATAACCCATACTGGTATTATTTTACACAAATGGGTCAAATCTTTGTATTTGTCAATCACATTTTATGGTAAGATGGTGGATTTAACACGAGGACATGCGGACATTTTTAGATATTATCCAACGTAAAAACAAACACAAAAAAAGAAAAACAAAGTGTACTTTACACCTTCTAAGTATCGGACAGTAACAGTGTTGATGGAAATAAGAGAAATAACATCCAAAGAGTAATCGAGGACAAGTTAAAGGGACTGTCTGCTACAAAATCGCTTTGATAAAATAGGAAAATATATAGTTACGTTCATATATTTTCCTTTTTTAAAGCACATTTGTTTATGACACATAGGCAATTTGTAGGCTACAGTGACCCTGACGTATCCATTTGATCTTATTATGGGTTATAATGGATTTAGTTATTTGCTTCACCTCAATTTCATTGTAAAAGTCCATTAAGCTTGAAGTCAATGCAGGTCTCATTTCCAGTGAGAGCTAGGCAACGGGCAAATGGGCTCTTGAAAAATCTGAGGCTGCTTTGTTTATGTTGTTTACTGAGGCTAAAATGTTGGAGAAAATAATTCCAGGAGCAGCCCATTTCTTCAGCTGCCCACATAACATGTTCGCTTTACAAAGGGCTAACTCATAAAGGTATTATTTTACACAAATGGGTACATAGTAGTGTTGCACGGTGTACCAATACTTGAAAGGTACCGCGATACCCTGCCGTTAAAAACGTTACGGTTCCTCCGTTTCATTAGTATCGGTACGGGGGAAAGTACTCCGGTGAGAAAGCGCCGTTTTAATAAGAGCCGTGTGTGTTCAGCGCTGTGCTTCCACTCCCTGCACTGCAGCCGTGCCTGCAGTCCCGCCCCTCTCAAGCACGCTATAAGCCCCTCCCCTCTCTCGTGCTCGCGCTAGCTGCCAGAGCATGTGAGAAAACGAGAAGCATGGCTGCAAGTGGGAGTGCAACTGCCGCTGCGCCTCGGCTTGTTGACAAAAAAGACGCCGGAAGCGAAAAACAAAAAAGTTGTTTATAGATGATGCTTAATTGTATTTAATACAAATTCTAGTCATTTATTTAATGTATTGTTCTTATTGTTTATAAGTTTGTGTTCTGGTTCTGGTGTGAAATAAAGCACAATAATTACATTTAAGGACTGTTTCCTTTTTTTAGAAAGTATCGAAAAGAATCGGAATCGCAATTGTTGACTTGGTATAGAAAACAAAATGTTGGTATCGTGACAACACTACTCCTGACAGTTAAACCTGATATTTAGTAGGTCTGTTAAGTATTGAATGCTGATAATTCTGACGTAATTTGGCCGGTCAAAGTTGTTTGGGCTCGGATAAAATTGCTCCGTTACTAACGTCCCGTGTTACTTTCGTCCCGTGTTACTTTCGTCCCGGCTCTCCCTACGTGTGTATGTGTGG